CACCGGTGGCTCATGTCTGAAATCCTAGCTACTCAGGAGGCTGAGATCTGAGGATCTCTGTTAAAAGCCAGCCTGGGCAGGAAAGTCCATGAGACTCTTATCTCCAATAAACCACTAGAAAACCGGAAGTGGTGCTGTGGCTCAAGTGATAAAGCATTCACCTTGAGCTGAAGAGTGCAGGAACAGTGCCCAAGCCCAGAGTTCAAGCCCCGTGACCGACCAAAAAAAAAAAAAAGTATTACAATTCAAAAGATGAGCAACAAACTAAATGACTATATACTATTCAATCATTGTAAAAATATTTTAAAAGGGAGAAGGGAGAAATATTAAAGTAAAAGATGCAGCACTCTCCATTTTTAACTTCACCAGTTACATGCACTTTATAACTGTTCATTTATAAACACACATATATAAATGTACATGTTCAACTGTGCTTACATTAAACAAAAAAAAAAGATCAATTTGAATGAATTAGGAAAATTTAGTTTGGTTCTACTCTTTTCTGTTCTATCTGCTACCTGGGTCAATTTACCAAAATGATTATTTCTGTCCTTACATATATAAATATATTTTTGCATAAATAATTTCAAGAATCAGACTACAGCACATTATCTCTTTGAATAAAATTATTAGAGATTTTTGTGTTGTCCAAAGCTTTATAAGACAACCTTCTTATATCTAAGTGTAACAACAAATGACAAAAGGCTTACTTGCCTTTATTCCTATGCTGATGAAAAATAAACACGCTGAATCCCCTGTGACTCTCCACAGTGCTGTCCCAGGCCTGGCTGCCTTGGGATTACCTCTCAAAGGTCTTGTTAGCTCTCCTTTCCTCATATCATAAGGTTTCATCTTCATTTTGTGCTAAACTCATGAGAAGGTTTTGTTGGATCTAATGAAATGTTATCCTGAGCTTGTGTTTTTCACTAAAAGGTAAAATGAAAACATAGTATGAATGAAAGAGAGGATACACCTTTTACCTCTGGGACTTCAAATATGGACACAAAATACATCATAACTTACAGAAATTTCAAAACACTGAATGATAATAAACTCACACTTAAGCTTTCTGGCACACGGAAATGTCCTTTCTGGAGGTGGTGGTGGTGTATCTCTACAATCCCTAACTATTCACAAGACACAGGCAAAAGAATCACAACTCTGGGATCAGTCCTCGAAAAATTAATAAAACTCTATCCTCCACCCCCCCCCAAAAAAAAGAAAAGAAAAGAAAGGGATGTAGACATGACCTAAAGAGGTAGAGTGCATGTCTAGCCAGCAAAAGTCCCAGGATTAATAATCAGTAACAAATACACATACACACAATCCAGCTCATAGGATTTGACATGAGAAACACAGCAGAAATCAAGAACTCAACAACAGCAAATATTAACAAATATGTGGGGTAAAGGAAGTCATAAACACTCCTAATGGGAATTTAAGTTAGTATAGCCATTATGGAGATGATATAATGCTTCCTCAAAAATGGTTCTTCACAATAAAATTGTGCATATTATTTAGCTATACTATTCCTAGACATATATCCAAAGGAATGTAGACAACATGTAATAGATACACCCGCATGGATTGTTCTGCCCAGGATGGCTTCAAATCACAATCCTCAGCCTCATGAGTAGCTAGGATTATAGGTTTGAGCCATCACCACCGGCTTCTATTTGTCCTTTGAGAATATACTAAAGGCTGTGTGTGTGTGTGTGTGTGTGTGTGTGTGTGTGTGTGTGTCTTAAGCCTCCATTGTTTATTTTTCAGTTTTAGTAGTCTATTTGAACTAATTTCAATTTAACTTCAACTACATATAAAAGTTATACCAAGAGCAGAAAGTTTGTCTCGAGGTTCTATCTCCCAAAAGAGAAATTACTCCATGAGTGGCTTCCAAAGTACTATTATTGATGGCAAATCGAAGGTAGAGAATATCTTATTTTACCATCTCCCTGACATCCTGGAAATTATATATACAAATTGTAAATAAAATATTTTGAATTGTTCTATCATTTTAAAAAATCTTCCCCCATGGAATAACCCCTGTTTTCATTTGATTCCGGTGCCCTGAATCTTGTTTTTACATTTTTCTAATTTGGGGAGGGGAAGGGAAATAACAAAATGCTTAAGTAAGGATACAGATTAACCCATTGTAACAATGAGATGTGCAAGACACTATGTTGAAAACAAACTTTACAACTTAGGTGTGGGGGTGGGGAGGGAGGAGTTGGAAAGGTGGGGAAGGAAGGGATGGTAGGGGAAAAACAAAGGAGGGGGTAATAATTATCAATAGGAAATGTACTCATTACTTTACTCATGTAACTGTGCAATCCCTCTGTACAGTATCTTTACAATAAAAAATGTAACCAAGGGTCAAGCATGGTCACACGTGTCTATAATCCTAACTTTAGGAGGCTGAGGCAGGAGAATTGTAAATTCCAAACCAGCTTGAGCTATGCAATGAGTCCAAGGCAATCCTGAGCCACCTAGTGAGACCTTGTCTCCAAAACAAAAATTTAAATAAACAAAAACTAACAATAATTTCTTAAAGAGCTTTTTATTCAGTTATAAGTAAATTTGAGACTGGTAGAAGTAGAATTTATTATAGATAAATATTTGTTTTCCTTACCACTGTAGTTTACGCATACACAAATATTCTTTACAAACCTACACAGATGTTTGTAAGTTACATTTCTATGGCTTGACAAATATCCACATTAAGTTATTAGCAGAAATTAAGATTATAACTGATGAAAATAAATGCAGGCAATAAGAAAAAGGGAAGTTAAAGTAAAAACAAAGACAACCAAAATACCATGCTATTCATGATTAACAAATATGTATGCATAATAATAAATTTATTGGAAAAATATCAGCTCACCTTGTAATTTTGTGCTAGGTACAAAGAACTGTACGGTACCATGTGTGAATGTGTATAAATATATAACTGTGTATCTAAGAACTACTTGAGGACAAAATATTTGGAGATTTTCCATTATTCATGACATTATTGGTTACTTTCACATCATTAATGTGTGCTGACATTCTTAGGCTATTATATTGTGGTAAATGATGTCAAATATAAGATAGACTATTATTTCTACTGTAGATGAAAATATTCTAAATTATTCTAGATTTTCTTTCTTATTATTCTTTATGATATAATCTCCTGTTATGTTTTGTTTTATTGGGTGGTTGTTTCTGTTGTTATTTTATTCATCTTCATAAATTTAGAACTTCTTAAAATTGAAAATTAAATTTTATCTATACTTATTACCTTAAAATTTGAATTAAGTAATGCCCAAAAAAGATAAATTATTATCATTAGATTGACAATTTGATAGTAAAGATGAAGTTTTAAAGAAATTAAACTTTATATTAACCTTATTTTATGATCTCACATATTTATTTACCCTGGTACAAAGGGGAATTCATTAGTAGAAAGAAATTTTTATCACAAATTATCTTCATTATGTAGAAAACATTCAAATCTGTATCCCACCTTTGATATGGTAACAGCCTACTGCATCCATACCATAGCTCTCTCTCTACAGTTAATACAGGAAAATGATCTATGCTGTATCTTATTTTCATGCCATATATCTAAGCTCTTAGCAAAGTTTAAAAATTCTCTGTTCAAAATACATCCAAAATGCCCTTCATTGTATTTCCATTACTATCATCTTGGTCAAAGTCATCTCCAATTCCTACCTAAAGAATATAGGGGACTACTGTTTTCAACTTTCTCCTCCACTTAATATTTGCAACATGAAATTTACTGTGATACTTTCAGCACAGGACAAGTGACAAGACCACTTATCTTCTATCATTCCCACTGCCCAGTGTTACCCTACATCAATCCTAAAGTCTTCCAAATACCAAGAAGTCCATGCCACAGCCTTCTTCACTCTCTGGATTCACCTGCCATTCTCCCCATTAGCCAATGAACTACAGACATATAGACAATATTGTTTCTCTTATGAACAACAGGTACATTCTGTTTTTTTTATTTTTATTATCTTTAAGCAGTTGTACAAAAGAGTTGTAATTTAACAAAGCAGTTTATGAAGACAATATAGCTTGATCAGTGTCGCCCCTTTCAACATTCTCACCCATCCCTTCTCTTCCCACCCTTCCCTTATCCTTCTTAATTTTGGAAGATAAACATTGAATTATTGACTGCAATCTCCCCCTTCTCTTTTTCTTTTTCTTCTCCTTTTCACTTAACTACTCCTTCCCCCTTGAAGTCACCCACCTTTTCAAATACCTGCTTCCTGGTGTCTGATTTTGCTGAACATTGATTTTGCCTTTCTAAGGAATTACACTATTTAAGTTCTTTCTTGACTCTACTATATCTCAGTTAATACATTTGAACATACTCGTATGCCACCTAACATATTTACCTACAAATTTATAATCTAAAACTAGCTTCCACATACAAAGGAAATCATGCATGTTTTTTTTTTCTTTCTGGGCAGGCATTCGCTCTTGTTGCTCTTTACCTGATGCTGTTTCTACAAACATATGCCACATCCTCACATTTGCATAACTCACTCCCAAATTTCCTTCCTTATCCTGGTCAAGAGCCACTTCTTGGAAAAGCCTTTTACTAATAAAACCATACAAGCATTGTTCACACTACCTATTTTTACCTTCCACGATACATATTACCTCAGGGAGAGATTTAATGATTCATCTGTTTATTGTCTGACTCCTTATCTGAATCATGTCCTCCTGAATGGCCTCAGGGATTCTTTGCACTGCCGTATACTTGGCAACTTATTGTTTTCTCAAAAAATAATCTAGAATGATTATTATAATCAGTGAATGAATGAATGAATAATGATAGAGTCTTAATTGGGGTCATATGAATCAAAACCTAGTTAAAAAACAGAACTGCTGTAATAAAGTGTAAGACATGTATTTATTACAGATTAGAAAATAAATCGTAATATGACATAGGACCTCTTTCTTTAGTTGAGTGTCATGAATGATTTGCTTTAGGCAAACAGTTTCAGCTTACTCCTAAAGACTCTGTCCAGAGCCAACATCACTTCTTTATTTCTAAGGGTATAGATTAGGGGGTTCAGCACTGGAGTGATTGTTGTGTGTATGATGCCCACTAACCGTTGCTCTATAAAAGATGCTGCAGCAGTAGGTGGTATGTAGGTGAGTCCCACAGTACCATAAAAAAGAGACACTACCATAAAGTGGGAGGCACAAGTGGACATTGCCTTCCGGAGAGCATTACAGGACCGGTTCTTCAACAGAAGAAAGCCAATAATATAGAAGTAGGAAAGGAAAGTGAGTAAACAGGCCATCATGGCTATGATGCAAGTGACAATAGAAATGAGCCACTGATTGATCCTTATGTCACCACATGCCAATTCTAAGAGGGGTTTGACATCACAGAAATAGTAATTGAGTTTCTGAGAGTGACAGAATGACAGACGTGCAGTCATCACAGAATGAATCAAGGCATAGAAGAAGCTGGTGATCCAAGCCATAACTGCCAACAAAACACACAGCTGGGAGTTCATGATGAGAGGGTAGCGAAGTGGGTTGCAGATGGCCATGAATTGATCAAATCCCATAATGGCTAGCAAAAGGGACTCGGTACAACCCAGAAAGTGAAAGAAGTGTAGCTGAGTGATACAGCCTTGGAAGGAAATGGTCCTGTGGCTGGAAAGAATGGTGGACATTAGCTTGGGCAGTATCACTGAAGCATAGCAAATATCCAGACAAGAAAGATTTCCCAAGAAAAAGTACATGGGGGAGTGCAGTCTTGGCTCTGAGATGACAACCACCAATATGGCCCCATTTCCAAGTAGGTTTATCACATATAAAATGAGGAAAACCATGAAGATTACAGGCTGTAGCTCTTCAACATAGGTCAATCCCAGCAAAAGAAATTCATTCACTGTGGTGAGATTCTCCTTTGATTTGAGGAGAAAAAAATGAGGGCCATTAATATTCAGCAGGCTTTGGATCTCTACAACAAAATACCTGCCATAATCAACGTATGAAAAAAAGATTGGTTTTGTCTCATTGCTTCCAAAGTTTTAATCTATACTGGCAGGGAAGAAGCAGAGAAATATACTTGTGCACTAACTGACTCTCTTCTTTTTCTGCTTCTATACTATCTGAGCTCCATGTCTATGGAATTATGCTACTGATATTCAAGTTAAGGCTTTCCCCCTTAGTTAATTCTTTCAGTAAATACCTTCACAGACATAGCCAGAGGTAGCTTTACTATTCTAAAAACTTCTCAATCTACTTAAATTGACAGTCACGTGGACCTCAAGAATGAAACTTAGCTTATAAGACAAGTGTCTACACATGTATATTTATTGAAACACTCCTAACAGTCAAGTCATGTCAATCTAGAGACCTATCAACAGACATATAGATAAATAAAATGCTATATATGCATGCAGATCTATATCATATCTATGTGATACATACATACATGCACAATGGAATATTAGTCAGTCATAAAGAAAAGCAAAATTAGGGAAAAATTGATAAACTAAAGATCATCACGTTAACTGAAATAAACCCAACTCAGAAAGAAAAGTACCATAAAATTTGACTGAAATGTATAATCTAGATTTTTAACCAAAAAAAAAAGATATGAAAAAAGAAAGGAGGTTATTCCAGGGAAAAGGAAGAAAAGAACAAAAGATTAATTGGGAGGTGAATATGTATGAATTAAATAAGATACATATACAAATAGAAAACAACACATTGAAATCTACTACTTAACTAAAATTAATAAAATTATTGACCATCACAACAAGTAAATATGTTCTGGCATCGGGTATAAGTAAGTGCATCATCTCAAATAGTAGGAGGATAATCTATGATAAACAGCATGATTAAGAATGGCAGAATTAAACTTATTTATAGCATAATTAAAGAAAACAATAATCTATGTTAGATTCTGGACCAGTTTGGTATTCAACATATCAAAGTAAAAAGGATACACAGCATACAGAGTTCAACCAAATATAGAGCTCTTACGGATTAAAAGCAAATTTTAAGAAAACACACATACAAAAACGAGAGATAGGGATGCACGGATACAAAGTCTCAGGTATAAGTTCAGGAGGATTAGTATACAGTAGAGTATAGATAATAATTATGTTCTGTACATTTCAAAATGATAAAAGAAGGTATCTTTAAGGTTCCACCTGAAAGAAACGATGAATATTTGGGGAGATAAATATGTTAACTTTACTTAAATATTACACAAAGCATTAAAATGAATGATGTGGTTCTGTGTATGTTACTTAGCATTTTTCTGACATTTAACTTAAAAACACACATATGTAAATGCAACTACTGTATACTATATTATTTTTTTAAAAAACTTATTGACTACATCAGGAAATTCCAAAATTTTCCAGCTAATGAATATTCCATAAGCCAACTTGTTCTTCCATTTTATAAATTGTAAAATTTTTACAATTTATAGTCAAAGACAATTTTCAGGTACTTTTATTCCCCAACAAAAAAAACTTCAATTTTTTCCCATGAAAACTATTTCTAATCTAATCTCTTTTTGTTCTATCTGCTATTTATGTTCATTTATCCTTTTGATTTTGTTTTGACATACCTCGGAAGGAATATATCTGTTTTCATAGAAACTTTGAAGAATTAAGTTTTGATGCATTGATTATCTCTTTTAATAAAATTAAGAGACTTTGTATCATTACAAAACCTCATAGGACAGCCTTCATATATCTAAGTGTAGCAACCAATGACAGAAGTCTTGCCTTTGTTTCTATTATAAATGGAAAATTAACACACTGAATCCCCTGTGACTCTCCACAGTGGTGTCCCAGGCGTGGCTGTCTTGGGATTTCCTCTCAAAGGTCTTGTTAGCTCTGCTTTTCTGTCATCATAAATATGTGTTCATCTTATGGTATAATTATCAGAAAACTTGGTTATATTTAATTAAATTGCACTTGCGCACAGCCTTATTTTGTTCCCTGAAAATAGATTGGAAGAGAATCTGCATAAAGAAAAGGACTCCTCTATTCCCCTTGGGAAATCTAACAATTGATACTTACACAATAAATCATCACTTACAGAAACATGGAAAATCAAAAACAGATAACTTTACTCAGAAGCTTCTAGACACATAAAAGTTATATGAATTAGTATGGTCATCCAAACCTGAAGTTCCAGCTAGTAAGGACATTAGAGGCAGGGGATTGTAAGGTTGAGATCTGCCTGGGCAAAGTTAACAAAATAAAATTTAAAAAAATTAAAAACCAAGAGAAACATTCTAAAATTCAAGAATGTATTTTCTGGATTCTTCCGTTTCCTTCTTCAAAGCTTCATGCTTTTCAGTGTAAAGGCTTTAAATCTCACCTGGTTAATTTTTACCTAGATAGCTGAATGGAATTGTTCTCCTGATTTCTTTCTCAACCTATTATTCATTGTTGGTATATAGGAAAGCTACTGATTTTTTTTTTTGCGGGGGGGGTCCGGTCATGGGCCTGAACTCTGGGCCTGGGCACTGTCCCTCAGCTCTTCAGCTCAAGGCCAGCGCTCTACCATTTGAGCCACAGCACCACTTCCAGCTTTTTTTCTTTTTGCTTATGTGGTGCTGGAGAATCGAACCCAGGGCCTCATGCATACAAGGCAAGCTACCACTGAGCCACCTTCCCAGCCCCAGCTACTGATTTTTATATGTTGATCTTATATTCTGCTACATTATCAACTGTTTTTCAGGTGTAAGATCAGAATCATGGTCTTCCAAGCACAGGATCACATCATCTGCAAATGAGGATAATTTGGATTTTTCCTTTTCTATTTGAGTTCATTTCTTTCTCTTGTCTTATTGCTTTGGCTAGGAATTCCAACACTACTGTATATGGCATAAGAGTGATGAGAGTAAAAACTTTTTGCCATTCCAGATGTTGCCTGTATTGTAGGTCTGTTATAGATAGTCTTTATTATTGTGAGGTACATTGCTTCTATTCCTCCTATGTTCATCAGAGCTTTTTATCATAAAAGAATTGTGAATTTTATCAAAAGATTTTTGTATATCAGTTTAAATGATCACATAATTTTCCTTGACTCTATTTATGTGTTATATTGATTTAAGTATGTCAAACATCCTCACATTCCTGGATTGAAACTTGGTTGTTATGTAGGGTCTTTCTTGTGGTATGATCCTTTAAACATATGTATTGAGCTTGGAAGAACTTTGTTTATCAAAATGATCTAAAGCTTTCTTTATTTGTTGTATCCTTATCAAGTTTTGGAATGAATGCAGAACTGGACTTCATAGAATAAATTTAGTAGTGTTCCTTCCCTTTCTATTTCATGAAAAAGTTTGAGGAATATTGTTAATTCTTCTTTGACTATCTGATAGAATTTGGTAGTGAGTCCATCAAATCTTTGTTGTTGTTTTTTATTAATGCCCCAATCTTATTGCTTATTATAGATCCATTTATGTGGCTTATATTCTCATGGTTCAATTTTGGTAAATCAAATGCATCCAGAAATTTAATCATTTCTGGTAGATTTTCCAACTTATTTGAATATGTTTTCAAAGTACTCACTCATGATTATCTGTATTTCACTGATGGTTATTTTGATATCACCTTTTATTCTCTAGTTTTATTATTTAAATCTTAGTTCAGTTATGAAAACTGAGTGAGGTAGCTGATCAGGCTTCAGGCTCATCCATACATAACAAGAAATCAATATCTGTATTTGTTTATATTATACTGTCCATGATAAATTTTCCATTAGCATCAGCCCTATTAGATCAAGATTTCCTGATTGTTGTTCCATCTTGCTTATTGTTGCAATAATTTCATTCACTATATCGCTGACATCTGAGACTCTTACTCACATCTCTGAGGAAAGAGCATATCTAGTGCCAAGGAGCTAACATCTTTATATTTTCAAAATTGTTTAGGGTTGAAGTTGAAAAATTTAGAGACAGAGACAGAGAGAAAATGAAGAGACAATATCATGACTTTTGACATCAACTACTTAGAATTAAACCAAATTTCATAGGTTGAATGCTTAGTCTTTCACAAGATAGCTCTCATTCCATATGCCATCTGCAAGTGTAGGAGCCAGAAGTGCTCAACTCTCAACCTTGAACATCTGGCTACAAATTTAAGGATACCAGGTAACCTCTGAGATTTTATAATTTGTGAGAATGACTCAAAATGCAGGAAAGTGCTATACTTATGATTAAGTTTGGTCATAGAAACATTATACACATTAGAGTCCCATGGAAAAAGACATAAGTAAGTTGTGTGAGTGCCCAAACACAAAGCTCTTTTGTCTTCAAGATGCATAATCCTCCAGAAAATATGGGCAGTATTGCCAACTGAGGAAGCCCACCTGAGCTTTGACGTCAGGCTTAAGGAGGCTTCCTCTCTAAGCATAATTGATTTTAATTATTAGTTCTGTAGCTGAAATCAAGTCTCTAGCCTCCTTCCCTTCATGAAGTTCAGGCAACTATCACCAAGACTCAAAGCCTCTAATCTCTTTATCATATTTGGGAGCCCATCATGGTTCTTGTCATGAACATAAACTCAGATGTGATCCAAATGATTCATGAATGTCAAAAATAATTTTGTCACTTGAGAAATGTTGGTGGTCAGAGCAGCCCCCTGTCAGGAAACTAGGACAAAAACATGACGAGTTCTTATTACATATTAACAGACTCCCATCTCTTTCAATAATCTGTACCTTCTAGCCTCCATAAAATTTCCTATGTACTTTGGGTTTATGTATAATGTACCCCACCACCATACTAAATTTTTGTGTTATGATACTATAGAATTTCTTTTGCTCATTCCTGTGATTCTTGAACCTACTGCACAACCTGATAGGCTCAAACTTTCTAACAGAAAAGAAGAACTTAAGTAAACAAGTCATTTATTACAATGAAATAAATGAATGTCTTAATGCAATGCAACATTGTCTCATTTGTCCTCTTGGTGCTGTAGGCAGTCTTTAACGAACTTTATCCCAAATATTTCTTCAGAGCCAACATCACTTCTTTATTCCGAAGCGTGTATATTAGTGGATTCAGCACCGGGGTGACTGCGCTATAAATGATGGCCACCATCCGGTCCTCACTCATGGATGTGGCTGAGGCAGGGCGAATGTATGTAAAACCCACAGGTCCGTAGAAAAGACATACCACCGTGAAATGTGAGGCACAAGTAGAGAGAGCTTTCTGAAGAATTCTGCAGGACCGGTTCTTAAAGAGCAGATAGCTAATAATGTAGAAGTAGGAAAGGAGCGTGAGGAAGAAAGCTCCCATGGATATGCTGCCTGTGACAACAGAAAGAAGCCACTGGTTGAGTTCTGTGTTGTTACAGGCCAGTTCCAAGAGGGGCTTGACATCGCAGAAGAAGTGATTGAGCTTCCAAGAGTGACAGAAGTTCAGGCGTGCAGTCATGACAGAATGCATCAGAGCATAAAAGAAGCTGATCATCCAGGCTACAGCTGCCAACAGAACACACAGCCGAGGGTTCATAATGACGGTATAGCGCAGGGGGTTGCAGATGGCCACAAAGCGATCAAAGGCCATGACAGCCAGCAAGATGGCTTCTGTGCTTCCCAGAAAATGGAAGAAATGTAGCTGAGTGATGCAGCCTAGAAAAGATATGGTCTTCTGTGTGGACAGGAGGTTTACAAGCACCTTGGGCAAGGTTACTGAAGAATAACAAATATCCAGGCATGAAAGATTTCCCAGGAAAAAATACATAGGGGAATGGAGTTTGGGCTCCAAAATAACAATTATTAATATAGCTGCATTTCCAACCAAGTTTATCAGGTAAATGATCAAGAATATCACAAAGAAGACAGGTTGTAGCTCCTGAACAGCAGTCAGGCCAAGTAAAAAAAATTCATCCACCATGGTAATATTCTCCATCATCTTGAGGAACAAATGTAAAAATAGCAATGAGGTATATTTTCTGATTTTTTTTCTTTCACCTTGTTATTAAGTGAAAGGAGCTTACTATTTAGAGGAATCTAGGGGTGTATAAAGAATGTTTAGGAACAGTAAAGTTAATTTACTCGTGACAAAATCAAGGAAAACCAATGTACCTGATCAATGCTGACTTGGTAAAATGGTATTAGATTAATTAAAGCAGTAGGCATAGATAAAGAGCACTTTTTATAAGTAGAATAGTAGGAGCATAACTTTGAAATATAACATTTGCATTCAGGTTTAGACAACTCTAAAACATACAAAGCAAATAGTTGACCAACTTATGGTTTTAGACTCTGATGTAGTCCTGGTAGATCATTTTTTTTTCATTTTACCCGAGATGTTAAAATTCAACAGGAAAGCCACCCATCCCTAGTGACAATCTAAAACTTTGGAGAAACACAGATAAAACCCACAAACCTCAAATATTATGTAAGTAGATGGAAGATATAATAAAATTTGCACGAGTACCACATGGCAGTGAAGCCACGGGTATACTTGAGAGAACTGAATTGGTGATAAGTTCTGGCAAGTTTTAAAATTGACAAGAATAAAGAATAGTCAAATTCCCAATCATAATGAGAAATTTTAACATACCCCTATATACATATCAGCCAGAAAGTCACTACGGGTCTAAAAATCTGAACCTATTTCGCAAATTTTTGAATACATAAAGAACATCAAACTCAGCATGAATTCCTGATATTGCTAATTACCCAAAACACAATATCAAAAATAAAATGAATCTTTTTAAAATTTTTCAAAAGATTGAATCATTCAAATAGTGTTCTTTGTCACAATAGAATTAGAAAAGAATAAGAAATAGATATCTTCTTTAAAAACTCACTAAATCCTTCAAGCATTGCATACTTAATAATTCCTAGATAACAGGAGAAATCCAAAGAGAAATTAGAAAATATTTTCAATGCTTAAAAAGATAAGATACATTAAAATTTTTGATATACAGCCAAAGAAATAAACAGAAAAATTATTGACCATAATCATTGACCTATGTTAGAAAAGAGGAAATGGAAAACCACAAAGAAATGACAAATATTTAAGTGACATATGCTAATTACCTTAATTCTATCATTACCTAATATGTTTAACATCATATTATACATAAATATGTACAATTATTACGTATTTAGTCAGATGTAAATGATGAAAATAATAATTGGAATCATTAAATAGAACACAAAAATGCAATAAAATTCAAGTTAAAGCCAGTACTGAAAAAGTTTACAAAAGTGGTAAATTCAGTGAGAATATACATTACTAAATTAAAAATAGTATTATCATCCAAGACACGGTCACAAGAGGTTTTTCTTGGTTGTTGTTTTTAATGTACTACATGATTTATTTTTTCTTTTGTGTTTTTCCCCCTATGGTTTATCCTCTGTTGTCACTGTATGTGAGTTTGGTACTCTGGGTATTGTTTATACGTTTGTCTGAATTAGAGAAGGGAAGGGGAACAACGAAATGGTGAGACAAAGGACAAAGGGGGAACCAATGCAACAGTGATACTCACATGACAATATGTTGGAAATGATCTCACACAACTTGGGGGGGATTGGGAAGAGAGAAAGAGGGAGAAAAATAAGGGAGAAATAACAAGTTGGACGAGAAATGTACTCACTACCTTACTTATGTAACTGTAACCCTGCTGTACATCACCTTGACAATAAAATTAAAATTAAAAAATAATATTATCAGATTCTATCAATGTCAAAATTTATAATATCAGTACAAACAAATGTTTTGTCAACGAACTTGATAATTAAATTTTAAAATTACCTCAATCTCAAACAACTCTTAAAATCTCCGGGTTGAAGAAAGAAAATTTGAATTGTTTGATATTTACATAAGAAACTGAAGCTATTATTTAAAACTTTCCCCAAAAAGGGTTGGATGCTGGTAGCTCATGCCTGTAATCCTTGCTACTCAGGAGGCTGAGATCAGAAGGGTCACTGTCAGAAGCCTACTTGGGGAGAAAAGACCATCTCCAGTTAATTAGCAAACACCCAGGCTGAAGGTATGGCTCAAGGGGCAGGGTATTCCAGCAGTGAGCAAGCAAACTGAAGGAAAGCAGGAGGTCCTGAGTTCAAGCCCCATAATCTGAAGAAGAAGAAAAAAGATACACAACAATTATAGGTTTTAATGGTGAAGTCCACCAAATAACAACAGTAATTTACATAAAACTTCAAAGAAAGAAAAAGTACATACTTTTTAATTTATTTTATAAGGCAAGGATAAAAGACAAAAGGTAATTTAATATTTGAAAAGTAGTAGATCCAGGCACCCTTGGCTCACACCTGTGATCCTAGCTACTCAGAAGGCTGAGTTCTGAGGATCATGGTTCAAAGTGAGCCCAGGGAAAGTCTGAGACTCTTATTTCCAATTGATCACCAAAAAAGCCAGAGGTGGAGCTGTGGCTCCAGTGGTAGAGCACTAGCCCTGAGTAAAAACATGTCAGGGACAGCACCCTAGGACTCTCTCTCTCTTTCTCTCTCTCTCTCTCTATTTATCTATCTCTGTCTCTCTCTCTGTCTCACTCTCTCTCTCTCTGTCACACACACATACACACACACACACACACACACAAATCTCCTTGTCCTTTGAGTCAAAGATTATTTCAAACAGGCCCCATTTTTCCTTAGCTACTTTCTGCAGTTCTTACCTTTATTAATCATTCTAAATCTCTGGATGCAAATAGGTCATCTGTAATCCTAGCTACCCAAGAGATTAACATCTGAAGGATTGAGGTTTGAAGCCAATCCCAGGCAGAAAAGTCTGAGAGAGTCTATCTCCAGTAATCATTAAAATGTCAGGCTGGAGGGTTGGCTCAAATGGTAACAAGCCACTTAGGAGCAAGAAAGCCCATCAAGAGTGTAAGGTCCTATATTCATGCCATTGTACCTACAAAGAAATAATTTTAACACTCTATAACATCAATACCAAGCATCTTAGATTCCAACTACCATCAGGTGACTTTCTTTCTCTTTCCAATATTATAGGTCTTACTTCAGCTTCTACAATCAAGTAACCTTTTTATTTAGCCCTCACTATTGTCGTGCATTCCTATTTCTCCTTACTCTTCTCAAACCCAATAAAGAATAAGGGTTAAGATTACTCTCTTGAGAACTAGGAATGTGGCTTAGTTGTAGAGTGCTTGCCTAGCATGCATGAGGCCCTGGGTTCATAAAATAATTTTTTAAAGATAGCTCTTTGAATGCATCCTTATATCCACTGGCCAACTTGTGCTTCATGTCCTCACCTGGAAAATCCTTTTAAAAAAATAAAGACTATTTACTGTGCATCTATACTTCCCTGATAAGCATGAGTGAAGGAAAATAGACATGCACATTCGTCTCGATTTAAATTCATTAATTCTCATCTGCAGTGAAATCTTGGAGATATTATGGACACACCTGCTTACTCAGACATCAAACAGGCCTGTCTGAAAATGCTAGCAGCAAGACCACGGCAGGACACACCACATTGCTTGCCAAAAATCTCTGGATGAGCTGACTGAAGATGTTTCCATGTGAGAGCCAATCTTCAAATATTAAAAGCCTATTTCTTCAACTATGTAGATCCCAACAAAGCTAGAAAGATCCCAGATATGAAAGCTTGGAAATTTCAAACAACTGCATATTTCACTTTGTCTTGTTAGCCCATACCTCTAACTCTTCATTCCTATTATCTCTTAGGCAGCACATGACGTCTGAAACCTTGAAACAATACAACAGACAAAAGGGAATATCTACAAGTTTCCTGTTGATATAACTACCCATGGTCTTGCAACTGTGCCAGTTATATGAATTACATATAATGATTTAGTTGCGTATGAAGATCACTCTTCCACTTCAGTGGAACTTCCTCTGTTCTTGTAAGAACAACTCCCCAATTGTTATCTCCTTCCTTCCTGTCCTAAATCATAAAATTTTTTCCCTCTAGCCAGGTTCTGGTGGCTCACACCTATAATATTAACTACTAAAAAGGCTGAAATCTGAGGATCATAGTTCTAAGCTAGCCCTGGCAGGAAACTGTGAGATTCTTATCTCCAATTAACCAGAGAGAGAAAGAGAAACAACAATAAAAAGAAAAGCCAGAAGCGGAGCTGTGACTCCCGTGGTAGAGCACTACCCTTGAGCTAAAACACTCAGGGACAGTGTCTGGGACCTGAATTCAAGCCCAGCACTGGTGTTAGATAAAACTAAATAAATGAACAAATAAGCGATGACTTACCTGTTTTCTCTCCACCCTCACTCCCCTCTTTCCTTTATCTTTTCTCTCTTTTTAACACAACTCATACATCTGACCACTTTATCATTCTCTCTATTGAATACTCATACACAATCAGACATATAATTACAACATACATGTATACTTAATCACACAGACAGCAAGCCCAAAACCCTCAAAAGAGTAACTATATTATCAAACTGAAAGCTTTCTAAACTAATGACTTGTGCCATGAGCCCATATATTATTAGTTCTGTCCTCCTTTTAACAGCTTTGATTTAAATAAGTTCCGCAGCAGCTGAGTATTGTGGCACCTGCCTTTAATCTCAGCATTCTAGAGGTTGAGGACAGGCCAGTCTTGACCTTACCCCTATCAAAACCATGTCTTAAAAAAAAATAGTTCCCCAGGTACACTAACTCATCCAATTCTGTGATCTCAATGCCATTTCATCAGAAATAAAATACTACTATAGATCATTTTTGGCTATTTAAATCAATTTGGCCTTTATTCTTCTCAAAACATACCTTAGAAATGAGTATAACTTTCCACACAATATGGTTATCCAAAAACCTGAGACCCAGATTGTTTTGTCTCAAATAAAATTAACAGAGAGAGTTCTGGATGCTCAAAGCCCCATATGTATCTAATATCCTGTGTCTATGTGTAATATTGAACCTCAGAAAATCTCATC